GCTCTAATTCACAATAATAAAACATTTGATTTGATTTCAAACATTTTCCTGAATCCAGTGAAATCCTTCAATGTCTTTTCAACATTCATTTACAAATCATAAACTTCCATTACAATTTAAATCTATACAAACATCAACTTAACTTTTAAACTCTTTAAAACTATGAAGATAATTAATATGGAGTAAACAAGCTCCATTAATACAATTTAAACAGCAAATCCTCCATTTCAAGCCCCACAAAGAGGAACATACACCAATTTAGCACAACCAAAATTCAAAATCCACATCCACCAACAAACTTACATACTTTTTTCGGAATTTAATACAAGCCGACTGTACTTAGAGGATTAATAAAATAATTCAATCGGTATTCAACCCAACTTTTATCTTATACCGCGCAATTGTTCTCTTTTTTTAGTGGATTTTAAAACAAAGAACAAGAGCCAAAAACCAATAACAAGAAAAATTCTTCCTTTATTGAAAAACGCCGACAGATCAAATTAACTGATAAAAAGTGTAATTTTTCTTTTCTTGAGATTTCATTCATGTTATCGGCTTCTGGAAATTATCGTTTGCAGACCTTGATTGGATTTCGAATTTTATAAACAGTTATTGTAAATTCGACTTAAAAACTTTTATTTTGTTCAGATTTATTTTACTTTTTTTTCTTCTCTTCCACTTTGGTCCGAGCATGTAGCATGTTAATATGAGAGGCAATAAGCGATTTTAAAAGTTATTATAGCATGAAACTAAATGACGCATTTTCACGGGAGCCAATTTAGATTGAAATGTATTAAATTGTGTGGATAAAATTTAACGGGGATATGGGTCAGATAAATATATTTTTTTGGAGTACATGCTTCGAGTAAATTATTCTGCTACTTCATTTCTTAAACAATTTAATATTGATGCAAAAATTGTAAAGCAATCATATGGTCAATAAAGCGTGGAATGAGGAAAAAGTAACGAGAAACATGCAAACTGATGTTATTTTGTGAAAACAAGCTGGATTGATTGGATATTTTTGATTTAGACTGTCTGGAAGGGCAGATATTGGTTTCGTTGATTATTGACTATGACTTGGCATGGAAATTGGATTTTTAATTATTATTTGCTGATTTATATAACCAAAAATATAATTTTCAACAAAAAGCTTCAGAGATAATCAATTGAACTCTTTAAAAGAATCAATTTGCAGGAAAAGCTTCTAAAATGATCAAATTGACTGACCAAAAGCATTTATTATCCAGGATAACCTCAAAATATAATCAAACTTAAGTTTCATTTTAAAATATTTCGTAAAAATTTCAATATAGACGAATTTCCCTAGTTGACATTAATAACATGCAATTCAATTTTAATAACCTCGAAATCATCAAATATGATTGATTTCCACCATCCTGCCAATCTCTTAAACCTCAATAACTCTTTTAATTAATAGAAAACTCTTCTAAATTGCACAAAAAAAACATCTAACCTTAATAAATCAAGCGATGTCGTCAAACGACGACTTACTTTGCATCAACTATAGTGACGAGCCTTAAAAGTAAAATCAAGAGACACTAAAAAGAGTTCAGAATAATGTGATTGATGGATGACTTAAGGAAATTTTTTATTGCCTTTTCATTCATTTGTTGTTGTGCCTTTTTTTTTTGTTGTCCTCTCTTAACAAGTTCGTTCAATTGCAGGCTGCATAATAACGAATGAGTAAAGAAGAATAAAAAGAGTTGATATTTAAATTCATCAAAATACGTAAAATAAGAGATGAGAACGAGAAAAGGAAGACATATGATAGAAAGATGCCTGTAAAGCCATAAAGCGATTTCCAATTTATTTATGAAAAGTCAAATGATAATGTTGAAAAGGAAAAGAAACATGAGAAATAATCCTCCATTGATGATTCAATTACTCTTATTCTTTGATACTTTCAAATCATAAAGAGAAGTGTGGTAAGGAATGTGAGGCTGTGGTGGGTAAGAAATGGCGCATTTTCAATATCTTATGCTTTTAATTAGTAAGACAACTTTTAGATATTTTAAAATAAATTTTTAAGTTTTTAATAATTTTACAGTCTTTTAAAATTCAAGCTTTTAAGCTTGCTATAAACTTAACGATTTTAAATTTAATTTTCAAATTTTGAATTCAAATGGTACGTTAAAATTATAGGAAGTATAAAATTTGTTCATTCCTTTGAAAATATTCCAGAAAATCTAATTTTAGCATAAATTCAAATTTGATCGATTGTCTTAGTTTTAGTAGCATAAGTCGTTTTCCACGACTTGCTGCTTTGACATTTACTTCCTGTGTAAGATAGAGATACAAGTCAATTAGATCTGCATTCAAGAAAATAAACCGACTCTTCTTAAATCACCCAAAATGACAGTCAAATACCGATTTCCATAATGAAAGATACATCAAGCAAAATATGGCAATACTCAAGAATTGATTGAGTATTGGAACAAAACTGATCTTCTTTTATTAACGGATTTTTATGATGCTCAGCAATCCAGAGGAAATACATGTTCATTCTTTTTTCTTGCTATTAATTGAAGACAGATTAATATTTAGATAGATACATTCATATCCATATCATACTGTTTGTATATTATAAATTGGATGAAAAATTACATGTGGTGTAAATAGATGATATTGCTGTAGCCCACATTCAGTCAATTGCTGATAATCACCAACTTTCTTGCTTCAATGTTGTACGACTGCAAATGACTGATCAGAAATTCGTATTGTATGTTGTACAATTTTTATTAATTTGTTGTGATATTATTTATGTATCTACTGCAGGTTGTCCGTGTTTTCTTGAGCTTAATTTATTTGTTGGGATTTCTAGTCTTAATTGTAGCTTAATTGCTTAATATTAATGAGATGCTGGTGATATGGTAATAAATTTGTCTGGAGTTCTCTAGAAATTGGCTCAATTTGATAGGATCTGGATTTTTAGAGCAATATTTAGAAGTTATACTGTTTAATTTGACTTCTTACCGGCTTTTATAATAGAAGCCAGCTTAAAATGACTTGTTGTTGCTAATTTTGTTCAAAATGAATTGGTTTTAAGGACTTTCTGCCTGTCTGTAAACAGTTGCGTTGTTTTAACCCTGCAAAAGACAAAGTTATAGCTTTTAGCCCCTAAACTATAAGTATAGCTTTCAAGAATGTTCAACCACTTCGGCATTCCTTTTAAAAATACTTCAAATACCAATTCAATGCCCTTGAACATTACGATAATCCTTAAGGTCAAAAAGTATAGCACAAAATTCTTTGCTCCCTCACTCCAGCAATTTCCTGATCAATTCATAATTCATCCATAACATTCCATAGAGACTATTCAATCAAAATGAGAATCAAAACTGTGGAGTTCATAAATTCATTCAGCAAAACATTAAAATCCATTGAGATCTATGCGAACCCCATGGAGACATTTTTCAAATGCTAAATAAAGCAGCTTCCAAAAATAATAATAATAATCTCCAAAATTTATTTCAATAATGCAAATTTGAAAAGAAACAACAAAGTAGCTAAAGCAGATCTAAAAATGTAGAAGCACAGAGTCTTTCAATGAATGGAAGTTGATGGCAAAAGAGACCAGAATGAGTAGTGAAAAGAGGAGATAAAGAAAATTGAAGCGTGTGTACAAAAAAAAAATATCTACTAAAGTATATTCAAAGGTAGAAATGGAAAATTAAAGAAAATAAAGAAATAATAGTTTGTAGGTACGAACCGAGATTCCATTATTGATTGACAATTTCCTGTTCGTCGTATTGTGGGTCCAATTAAATTTTTTACTTCTCTCTCTCTGATTCTCTTCTGCCCCTTTTTTTGCTCTGATTTGAGTCTTTATGAAAACTTAAAAGCTTTTCCTCTTCATATCATGCGATTGCTGTCATTTGCTCGTACATCTATTGACATTTATTACCTACCTCCGATTTTAGTCACGCGAGAAAAATCTTATTTTACGTGTAGCTACAGATGTGGATGTGATATACTTCTCATCAATGAGATGGGATTTTTAGAACTTCTGTTGGTGTTCTTTTGATCCATCGGATCATTTTTGAGTTATTTGATGCTTCGGGACAGTGTTTAAAATCTGATGAGATTGGATGATGAGTTTCGGATCTTTTTGAGTTTAATTGTCATTATTTTTGATGGCTTTAAGGGCTATAGTCAGTTCAATGAGTTTTTATGATTGTAATTTTTGAGATTTAAGTTAGGTAGATGATCAAAGGAAGTATACATGCTCGGTTTAATTTAATTTTGAATGTTAATAATTTTTATCAGCCTTAAAATATCAAATTCCGTTAAATTTATTGCAAAACTCGAAAGCAACAAAACTTTAACAATCAGCACAGCCGTCAATTTAATTTCCATTTCTTAATAAAACAAAAACTTCCAAGAATAATTCATACAAAGTTGAAAAATTTCATTCCAATTATTCATCAAAATCCACGCTGAATAAAATCACTAAAAAATGATCAACACTTGTCCAATTTGTTACGTGTAATTGTCCACGAAGGAAGGAGAGAGAAATACGGAAAAAGTGTCAATGGATACGGTGTGCAACATGTGAGTAAATCAACATAATTCAACTGTCAACGCGCGTTCATTGTTATTGTGAAAATTGTTTTTCAGATTAATTGGTCAAAATGATCCGTAAAAGTCATTGAAAGGTGATGGAATCAGACTTTTTCTAGAAGTTTGGTTTCAAACTTTTTTTATTCTTGTAAGAGACAATTGTATTAGGTACCAGGCAGGGTACAAAAAGCAAATTTTTTGTTTTATTCTAGCAGATTTTTTTGATTAACAAGTTCCTCCATATTTAATATAATTTATAATATTTCAACTGATTTTCTGTGTAAAAAATCTTAAGAATAATTTAAATTCTTTAATTTAAAGCTTCAAAATTTTCAAATAAGCTTAAAGCTTTTTCAATACAATTCAAAGCTTTTAACGGTTTTTTTAAAATTCAAAAATACTTCCTGACTTCAAAGCTTTAAGCTTCGATAGCTTCGACTTTTGTTTACATCAACAAAAGTCACTCCAGCATGAGTTTAATATCAAAAATCGCTACAAAAGTAGGGACAGTGGTTGGGGTTGGGTGTACACTTCATTGTTTTTTCGAATATATTGCAGATTTTGTCGTCTGTTCCGGTGAGTTGAAAGATGTAATAGATTTAAAAACTTTCTTAATCACAATTTCTAGGTGAATCTATGCAACCAACACTTTCCAGCAATAACATTCTTCTATGTAACAAATTAGCACAAAGACTAAACAAAATCCAACGCAATGATATTATTATAGCTGTTCATCCTGTATCACCAAAATCATTAATTTGTAAGAGAATCATTGGATGTGAAGGTGACATGATAATTATGAATGATAAGGACGATACAGACAATAGCGAGACACAAACTATCATAATTAAACGGGGCTCATGCTGGCTAGAAGGTGACAATCGTATAAACAGCACCGATAGTAGAAATTACGGACAAATTCCAGTTGGATTGATTAAATCAAAAGTTGTTGCTCGTATTTGGCCATTAACCGAATTTAGACTATTTTAGAATCGTGATTCCAAGAATTTTTAGAATCTTAATTGCTGATACGAACAATTCAAGAGTTTCGACCGTTACAGTTTCCAGAAAAAACTTGTGAAAATGTCTTATTTGTCTGTCTGCCATACAAAATTTGAAGTTTCATACCCTGCAGTTCGAAATTTTCGAAAATTTAAAATAAACAAAAACTTAAATTAAACAAGTTTTATATGAGATCTAGATGAAAATATTATGTAGTCATTTAATGATAAGCATAATATAGCTAAATCTTTTTTAAAACGATCAAAAACTCCAATAAAATCACTAAAATTGTAACGGTTTCTTTCAAATTTAAACTTTTCGAACGTGCATATTATAACTCCCCTATTTAGACTTTCGATAAGTCTGTCGAACATGAATTGTTCGTATCAGCTTAATTGCAATAGACTAATAAAGTTTACAACTTTATATTTATTAATGACATTTTGAAAGATTTTAAATAAAAAGTTCTACAAAATTATTCAACGGTTTTTTAAAATTTTGAATTTTTGTCTACATAAATTTGAATTAAATCCGTTGGTCTACATTTACTTTTTCAGTCACATGGTCGATCTTCAGACTTAATTATCAGCTAGATTCTATGAGGCTTCATCTAAAGCTGTCAAAATTTATTTGAGTAAATATAAACACCCATAAGACAATCGAATTATATACATCTTTCCTTGAACTAGTTTTCATAACAAACGTGACCCAGAATCCATGTCGCCAACATATCGATTTCCTATTCCTTTCTTCCCTTTTATGCGTAACGCAATATTTTTATCATTGTCGATATGGTCATTTTAGTCTATTTTTAGCAACGCAACTGTTCAGTTTACAAACAATGAGCAGGCAAATTTGTCTGTTGATTTTGTTGGTTTACACAGATTTTTCATTAGCATTAAGGTGCTATTATACAGGACTTCCGTGGATGAAAAATTGTTCAAAGGAAATACATGAGAGATATGGAGCTAGACCAGCATGCTTGTGGGCTGTTATTATAGATGGTGAGTTATTCAGATTCTGGGAAATAAAAGTTAAAAAAACGTTTGAAAAATTTGAAATCAAAAAATCAATTAAAAATTTAAATTGTAAAAATACGTTAAATTTTTAAAGTTCAAAAGTGGTATAATTAATCTTTTTTTAAATCCATCAGAATACAACAATCCGAAAGAAATTCAAAAATGTTCAAAAATTGGCGACATCCACCTATCAGCCTGTGACGTTCTTCGTCTTAAGGAGCATGTCAGAGAATGTTCGCTGTGTGAATACGACAAGTGCAATCGACTGAAAGGCTTCAATAGTTCCGAAAAATTCTCATTCAATACTTTATTATGGATTATATCAAGCATAATTAGCAGTCTTTTATGACACTTTTAATAGAATTATTAATGATTTTCGTGAAATTAATAATAAGCTATATTGCATGTAAGGCGCAATTATGGATTGTAATTACAATCATTTCTGTAAATATTAGACATAAGATTACAAATACTGTAAATGTTGTAAGCTCAAAGATAGAAACCTTTTTTGTGGCAGTTATTGGTTGTGATTTTTCAAGTTATTAAGCATTTTTAATAAATTCTAAGAAATAAAATTAAAATTATGGCTGTAAAATTCGCAATTACCGTAGTTTTATTGATGATTTTAGTACTAATTAGCAAAGTTCAATCGGAACATGCTTGTTACTCCTGTACTCATGATGGAAAATATCTTTGCTTAAACGATACTTATACTTTGCACATGGAGGTGATTAAATTGAATTTTAATTGATTTTAGAGCTGTTAATGTGATTAATATTTCAATCCAATACTCAGGTTTGTCCAGGCATTCCCGATGAATTCAAAAATTATTCCGGCATCAAGGAAGTTTGTTATAAAACTTTTGCAAAACGTAAGTTTTTCAGTCCATTTATCCATTCCGTCTCTAATATTGCTCAATAAATTCTCCAGAACGCCGAAGACCAAGATACTTAATAACAAAAGGATGTGCAGTTCAAGCTGATAAATTTGATCCATGCACGGAATTAAGAAAAGTTTCTGTGGTCGGCGTAAAAGCTTTATGCACTGTGTGTGATAAGCCAATGTGTAATGGGACAAAAGGAATGCAGACACTGTACATTGGATTCTTCGTGATGTTCTTACTGAATTTTTCATAGACACTAGCTTAAATATTAATCAAAAGGACTTATAATTGATCAATTTTTATTTGTTGTGCTGTAAATTATTGATATGTCTTAAGAAGCCTATGACATGCTATAAAGTCAAGCTATATGAGAGGTGGAATAAAATTTAGACATGAAAGTTGTGGGTTTTTGTGCTCTTTTAATTATTTCCTTTGCAACAAGTATTTTTGGACTCTTTTGCTTCCAATGCAGCTATTCAGACAAGAATGCTTGCAAGAATGGAATCAACTTGTTATCAGGGGAATGTTCAGTCATGACTCGTGACGAGAAGTTGAATTTCCTACCAACATGCGTTTATGCAACTAATGGATGTAAGTTTAAGGATGGAAATAGTATTAAATGATTAAGTTATGACTTTTACTTTTTATAGCAAAATCTCATCACTTCCGTGGATGCACAAAGAAAGGAAATAACTTTAATTTTTGCTCGGTCTTCATAAATAGCACTAAAGATTCGTCCATAACCTGTGATTTTTGTGATACAGATTATTGTAATGGACAGAAGAAGACAAATTCGTCTAGAAAATCTATGCCTGGTAGAGCTGTAAATTCACAAAAGCTTGCACAAAATATTATGGCAATGATTATGCTAGGGAAGTTATTTTTATAAGTTCCTATAAAACAACTCCTTACTTAATTTGTGCTGCTGCCTTTATTTTGTCATTTGAAGTTTAAAAAATTCACAAAACACCTCCTTTTTAAATAAAGAATAATAATAAAATAACAAAAAGTATCCAAAAACTTGGTTAAAAATCACAAAATAATCACTTAATCAATGTCCAAAGTTCTGAAGCTTCCAATGGATTCTTCAAGATTTCTGCAAGCAGCAGCTTTTTCCATATCAACTTCAAACTTATTAATTTCCTTGACTTTGTCGAAGTTTGTCTCGACAACCTTGATGAACTCATCAATAACTTCAGCTTCCGGTTCCGTTCCACCAAGGTACTCAGTCAATACTGATTTGTCGACATGCTCAGCTAGATCTTCTAGGTCATTACACAAAAATAAGCGACTACGTTGCTTCTCAGTCATGACTTTTTTGCCAGCATTGAGTAATGCATTTGCAGTAGCTGGAAGTCCGACAATTAAATACTTTTTAAAACGTCCAGCACATTTACTTGCACTCTCAGTAAATCCAACTGTATCACGAATTGAAAATGATCCAATAACCTTCAATGGACACTTTACGTAATTAAGGATGAATGTACATCCCAAAATCTGATTCTGCTCATTTTCCATGTAAGCACTCAATGAGTTAAAGACAAATGCGAATGCATCTTTAGTCTTGTATTTATCGATATCAAGTCTCTCCAAATTTATCACAAAAACAGAACTTCCGTCGGCTGCCTTCTTTTTAAGCATGTAACCAGCTCCACCTTTAGCAAGATCACGGAAAGTATCAAGATATTGATCACTGGTATCAAACCAATCAGGTCTGGATGTTCGGAATAGAAGATTATTTTCAAAAACTTTGAAGACATCGTCCATTGAGTATTTCTTGGTTCTCAAGAAGTGAACTAAGTACGCGTCATCTTTAAAATGCAAATGAAATAAAATTTGAGGTTAGAATATTTTTCAAGGTTAGAGATGAAGTCACCTGTTCGTGAATTGGTTATAAATGGATGCTTGCTCAACCATTCACGGAACTGCTCCAAAGCTTGAGCCTTTCTGCTATCATCTTCTCGGATAAATTCCTTATTTTCAGCAACTAATTTCTCAATATCCATGTCTGCAAATTTATATTTTTAATTCCACTCGAGACACTTCTTAACCACTGAACGTCTGAACAAAATCTGTCGATCATCACTTCCATCCAACTCTCAAAGTAGCCAAAATAATTTGATATTGTCTGTCTCTTTCTCAGCTGACACGCAAGCATCGACCAAAAATTGTTATATAAATGTGTGAAAAACTTTATTGAGGGACAGTAAAACTGATTCAGGCATCGTTGGAATAATTAGTTGGAACAATTTTCTCACAATTGCAAAATACTTTATATCATGTAATTTTCGGGGTAATTTGCGTATAAGAAGAGGTTTTCTTCGTGTTTTGTGACGTACTTTTCAATTATTGTGTCGATTTTTTTGCAGAGAAATTTTTAGTCTCGTGAAAACGAAAGTGGAAATCCAATGAAAATTACAGCGAAGCACTGAAAAATCATTCATGTTAAACAACTTCCAATAACAATGATGATTTAGCAATAATGACAGTGGTTCATGATCATGAATATTATAATGTTGCATGGCTATAAATAGCATACCAAAAGCTAATTGAGTTTGACCTACATTGTCTAGTGACGTCTTTGGTAAAGACATGAGTTTAAGTTAATTCTAGACTGTCTGGGAACTTTGCATTAGAATATTACGTAAAAAATCTTCAGGTGACGCCTTGAAATCGACCTTCAAGAACCTTTAATCTTCTTGATTGCTATAATAGAGAAACAAAATTACCTGAAATTCACATGAACAAACGATTCTTCACACTTTACATTTCAAAGTTTCACTTTTGGAATATTAAGCTCAATTTATTATTTTAAAATTATTTACAATTCACCATTGAATGCGATTATCAACGATACTTTTATGTAAATCTAACAAATTATTATAAACATGATTGGTTTCGATAATTTCACCATACTTTTCTCTTAATTGATTTGCCATCTTGTCATGAACTAGTATAGAACTCCATCCTGCATTTTTAGCTCCGAGGTAATCAGTAATTGGTGTATTTCCAATATGGAGGCATTCGTAAGGTTTTAAATCTTGAATTCCACTTAATTTCATAGCTTTGGAAAATATCTCCCGACTTGGCTTCTCAAAACCTGCTTGATATGAGCCCAACGAGAAGTCAAAATATTCATTTAATTTCATATTCTTCATAAGGACTTCCAGTCTCGAATCAAAGTTACTGATAACTCCTAGATTTAATTGCTGTTCACTATTTTTGGTACGGTTATCATGAAATTTTTGTGTATTCAAGTATTTTAAGAAATCCACAGCACCAAATGTAACCACCCAACAACTTGAAGTTTTGTAAATATCCAGTAGATAATTTGTCATATTGTTAATCTTTTCATCCGACAGATTATGGTGGTCGAAAGTGCCTAAAATGTTTGTGGATTATAAAAAGATATGGGTAATTCCATGCTATAATTTTGCTATAAAATTTTCTTTAAATTGATTTTTTTCATCCTTAGGCTTTACAAAAGTTAATAAGATTTCCACAGGACATGTTAAAAGCCATAAGGTATGTTGTTTGACATTAAAATGTCATCTAAAAAGATTATTAAGTCCAAAAAATTATATTTTATAGCGTTACTTGGTAACATTTATAGCTTTACCAAGTAACGCTCATGGAATCAATTTTTTGGACGAATTAACCACTTTAGATAGAAAATTAATGTCAAATCATATACCATATGACTTTTTACATGCACTGTGAAAATCTTATTAACTTTTGTAAAGCCTAAATATGAATAAAATCAATTTTAAGTAAATTTTGTACAAAAATTTCTCATGGAATTACCCATATAGATATTATAGAAAGTGATTAGATTTAATACGTAATTTTAATTGCTTCAAGATAATCGTGTCATTTTATGATAGAATGAAGAGCTTTTGGTTTACATTTTGTCTTAGTCTGGTTGATACTTTAGTTTGTAACTAGATAAAGTTAAATCTGAAGTTAATAAGGCAATAAAAGACTTAATTTTGCAACATTTTTTTAAGTCCAAAAATTTGTAGTCGTAATTATTGCTCCTTTAAAAATCGCAGGGTTATTTCTACGACAATTTAAATTCTTAAAGTCGGTTAAATTTCAAATCACAGAATAAAAGTTTCAAATAATTATTAATTTAATTGATTCAGAATAAAATACAACCACGATAAAAATAGCTACTACCGCTATCATGTACAATCTCTTGTAATTTTTTCCGGCAAAAATTATGCAATAGAAGCGCACGAACCATAACAAAAAAATTAAAAAAATACCTTCTTAACTCGCATTTTATCATTAACGTAAATCAATCGGAATGTGAAGCACAAAGTCTATATTTTATTCCTTAATCACCTTTTATTAGTAAGCGCCACCATTCCTTCTCATCAATATTTGACTTTTGACCAAAAATTGGATGTGTTGTGTTCATGTGATGCCTAAAAAATAGATGAACATAAAAATGCAAATTAGTTACATGGGACATCCTAGACCAGTTTTGAGTATTATTGTTTAGGTCAATGACTTGAAATTTTACCAATTTATCTTAAATTTTGCGACCAAATCGTGATGTTCATTGTGACTGACACCAAATAAAGCTCCAATTTCACCTACGGGATCCGATCATAAATTAATAATTCAGAAGTAAAATTGAAGCTATAAATTATTTACCGTACAACTTTCCCGGTGCCGTTCGAAACTTAATTAAAGTATCTGTCATAGCAAAAGTTATCAAACGAAATCTCGACAAACTGCTCATTTTAATGGCAATTTAAGTACAAAATTTAATAAATTTAACTTAAAAAAAAATTATTTATGCTAATATCAGGTAGAAAAACTCCAAAAACACAGCGTTCACAAAACCAGTCAGATCAGAAATGGTAAATGTTTGTGTTTTTTTTTTTGAAGACTGCACGTTGTCTATACGAATATGTGGAACTTACTAATGTGTATAATGTGCGATAACACACATATTTTTACTTCTTTATGTGTATTTTTATAATGTAACCAAAATACTTTCAAGATAGGAGATAAAGCAGTCATCCAAGTGTTTCTATTTTTATTTGACAATTTTGCCTTATTTTTATTTACAGTCAAATTATTAAGTTATAATACAACCAATATTAACCAATAATTTAGTTATCACAAAACAGTATTGTTTGTTTGTGGAGCTTGCGATTGAGAATATTAGACTAGATTAATTAATTTTATAAATAATAATATACCAGTTTAGATGCAATAAAATTTTATATTTGGCTATAAAACCATTAAAATTGACAGTTTATCATTTGAAATTCTTAATAAACCTTACAAATTCATCAAAATTGTAATTTGATTGTTCAAATGATTAGGATTTGTACGGTTTTAAGAAATTGAAGTGCTTCAAAGATTAATACATTCATATTTTAAAATATTTCCTTCTTATTATTAATAAATCAAAAGTCCATTACTATTATTTTAGATCTTCGACGTCAAGCAATTGGTTGCGTGTTTGTTTCTGTGTTTTGGTTTTTTACGACACAACAACTTGTCATAAGCTTGTAAAAACACAACTTAATTGTATTAAAAGCTAATAATCGACAATGATAATCGAAACAAAAACCTTAAGTCAATAATAATTGGTCACGTATGATTAATCGCCTTATCGGAAAATTATCAAATTTGATGTATTATTTTTGAATAATTTTGTTGAATTTGAAAGGTTTTTGAATAATTTGTTTGAATTTTGTAAAATTTTTGAATTGTTTGGTTGAATTTGTAAGGTGGAGTTTTCTCCCAACCTCCGAATGAGGAGGTTGTGGAATTGTGTAATACTTCAAAATTAATTAATTACGCGTAGGAATAAGTCACAAACCTACTGAACCTGTCTTCAAAGTAACAAAGAACAAAGATACCAAGGAGAAAACTCAGCAAAGTCGCGATTTAATTAAATTTTGGATATAAATTGAAATTGAAAAAAGAATGTGCAAATTTTGCACATAACCTAGATAAAACGGAATTGATCATCATCGGAATACCAAAGAACATTTAATTACATTGACAAAACACGATCGGCGGCAGTTGTGAGGAGAATCAACTGTTTCACGTGGGTTTTTTGTGTTTTACCAACAATTGTGGACAAGAAGGTTCTATCATAACCACAACCTAGACATTTGAATATTATTGGAATACAACGGATTAGCTTCAATTGTGAGGAGAATTTGTCACGCGATAGGTTTTGCGTGTTTCCCCATGTATCGCGGGCAAGTTCTATCAATCAATTGGTGCTGACTGGATTTCAACAAATCAACATTGACAAACAGGAATCGATCATCTCGGAATACAGCAGAATATATTAATTACATTGACAGATCACAATCGAGACATAAGAAAAATTTGAATCTATTTGGAATATCACAAGTTGAATTACAAGAAGGACTGTCAAGGGATCTTGATCATCGAAAACTGAAGATGAAATTTTTGCCTAGCGATGGTTTTTTGTTGTTTTGACTTATCGCGGGCATGTTTTCTGTCAACCATTTGGAGTTGACTGGATTTTATTGATTGTTCTTTGTGTACATTTGTAAATTAAACAACCTGGAGTTGTGAACGGTCTTAAAATAGCAATAATAAAGTTAATTAAGAAGAAGAAGAATTTGTAAGTTTTTTTTGAATAATTTGGTTGAATTTGTAAGGTTTTTGAATTTGAATTTCAATCATTTCAAATTTTGAAGTTTATTGAACATTGAATTTGTTCGAACTTCATAACTTAAGTAATCTCTTCTAACATTAAAAAACAATTCCACTTCAATAACTGTAAACAACAAAAAAATTTGTTTAATGACAACGAAAAGGCAAAGAAACAGAAAAATATTTACAAGGTCAAAAGTCATAACAACAGCAATTACTGTATGATGTTCTTTGACTATATACATGCATGTTAAATTCTCAATCGCCTTTATAATTTAAACCAATTCTCATCTTTGTTTGATCCAGTCTGCAACCATTTCACCGCAATCTTCACCACTTTTTAATACGAAAGCATGTTCAAAATCTCTTGAGCACAGCTGAGCATCAATTTCTGGAAATCTTTCAACGATTTTGTGATAATACTTTCTTTTCACCCAATTATCCTTTTTACCATAATATAATTTTAATTTGTGAATATTTTGTTTGACTAGTTCCTCATCCAGTTCCGTTATTTTGTCCATTTCATCTGATGCCATGAATAAAATCTTCTCAACAACTGACAGCTTCGTGTGTTCAAAGCAATGCTCTAAAAAGTCTTCTGGCATGTCTCGACAGTACAATTTAACCATTCCATATCTCAACTTGTGTGGCAGGAGATTAAAAAGTAAGACGATAAGCTTCAGAATGAAAAAGAACGGCCTCATTCGTACAAACCATTTGCCACTATATGAATCCGCAATATTTTCAATCGTTGGAAACATCAGGTAGCACATATCAACTTTAGCATTGAACTCTGGCGATTCTTGCAGCAAATTCAAAATAATTTTAGATCCAACGGAATGTCCAATAACGTGAATCTTCTCAATTTGTCGTGGAATGTACTCGAGTAATGATAATTTATGATTAGTTTGTCCTTTTAAATCATACAGATGAGGATGTTCCTTTAGTTTCGGAACTGTCATGTTTAAATGCTTTTTAGGCTCATCGTGACCGGCATGTCCAACACACCATATTACAGCCTCTCTATTTAATTGTTCATAAAGTGTTGAGCAGAATGTCGTGTAAAAACCAGGCAATCCAGGGTTACCTAAGGTTAATTACAGATTATGCACTTAATTGCGATAAGAGTACATGCAATACTGCAAACTTTTACCTGAGATCACTAAAACTAGCTCTTTAATGTTTTCATTGAACTTTTCCGTTACAAAATGTCCCCAAGTGAAGACCCTTGTTGGAACTGAATTAATTCTCACAAATCCGTTGTGCATTTTCGGCTGTTATAATAATGAATTTAATTAAATTCTGTGAAAGGAAAAATGTAAACAAAAATGGTGCGGGGCTGGCGATTTGGTGGTTCTGAAATATTGGAATTTGCCCTATCGTCCGATTTACAAACAAATTTTTTATTTGTATTGTAAACTTTTAATCTTATCTTGATTATTCTTAAAATGTATGATCTTATAACATTTTAGTCATTTGTTATAAAGTGCAATCCCGCGTTTCGTACATGAATCTTTCCCATTGAGTGCTGTCATCAAGTAACTTTTGTTATATATAGCAATTTCATAATTTATATTAAACCTTACAAAATGCCTGTGAATACAAGAGAATTAATAGACGCAGTATCAATTATTGCTGAAAATCAAAACATTCGAGTGACTGTAACGTCTAGTTTTAAAGCGTCATGCATAGTAGCTGGAACAACTTTTGTTGGAAGTGTGGTAAGTACTTCGAAATTTCGTTCTACTGGATCTTATTGTCATAATGTCTCTGTATATTCAGGTTCTTGGTCCTTTGGGAATTCCAATCGGTGCTACATGTGGTGGATTGTATGCTTATAGCCAAGCAAGAGGTAAGAAAAGTGACTTATCAAACATCCAGTAAAGATCTACAACAGAAAATGTTCAACTGCAAGATCTTGAATGAGAATTCTTTCATAGCAAAACGCCTCATTAATCCAAATTTCTGTTTTCTCGTTACAGGCACATTTAGATCCGCAGCAGTAATCATTAGAGATGAGTTGACTGAGGAACAAAAAGACGCATTGTGTCAACATATTGTTGATGCATTCAACGAAGTTCGTCCAGAGGAAATTGCTTTGTTGATTCCACTACTTATGGCTCCTGGACAGTTTCAAACACTCGCTATGACAAAAGTTGTCAGTTACCTTCGAGATGAATTGAACATGCGTGTTGCTAATTGAATATTTTTTTAATTTTTATAAAATGCTATCCTAAATGGAAGTTATCACAAAAAATGTCCAGACACAAAGCAAAATTGAGATATCAAAATAAAAGGCTTTAAATTACTATTAAGTGCAACAAATTGTGGAAATTTTATGTCAATTTAGTAAAGTCCAAATAAAGTATATTATAATTTTCTATAAATTGCTTTTATTGCAAATTTTACTCTCCACAGACACATGAATCACATCAAGCGATCTCGAAGGTCACCGATTCATTAACGTTTTCTCATTAAATGCATTAAAAAGTTTAATGTATGATTATTATAAAAGGTAGTCGCTTATAAAGTGACCATTTTCTCCTCATTTTCAGTTCCAGCTCATAAATTTTATGAAGATAATAATTCAGATTAAGCTGTGCTTTTTTTTGTTGAGAAGGGAGAGTCGAGCTGTTGTTAATGCGAAGGTAATCTAATAAAATTAGATTGTTGTTTTGAAGACATTTTTACTTTAAGTTAAGAAACAATGCGGATATTGATTTGAAAATTGCGATTTTCTTTGTAAATCATTAGATTACAAGCTAATAATTAAGTTAAAGTTATTTTGTCAATGTTTGCTGTTTGAGTTCTAAATGAAGAATGAAAATAAAATCAATATCAATAAATAAAAGCTTGTAAAAAGGGGTGTAAAACCAAGTCAGTAATTATTTCAAATATAAAATATCCGTTGAAAATTTATTTTTAAATTAAAAACAAGCAAATAAAAACAATCTGCAAAAATGTAAGAAAAATCCCCAACCACTCCATCACAAATAGACTAGGATTATTTTTTCTATCTTTTCCTTCTCAAAATGTCTCATTATTAATTTAGAGATTATTCATTGATCACGAGAATAATGAAATAAAAAATGAAAAAGGGAAATTTTCTTATCACATTTCACTTAAGGCTGTGCTTAATACTCTTCTCAATTATTACGACCGAATGTTTTTGTGAAGATTTCCTATTATCATCAGATCAGACGACAGAAAATGAGAATGACACAAGACGAAAAAAAGCTGATAATTAAACAAATTTTTCAGTAGCGACTTTTCTCTAAAAATAAATATACATATCTCCAATCATAGAAATAAGCTTCCGCTTAATTCAACCGTGATGAAAGAGCTTAATGTGCTTACTGACGAAGAGAAAAGGAAGAAAAAAAAATTAAAATTAATTCCACAAACAAGCAATTTATTCTGTGATGTTCATGAATTGAAATATTCTTGACTCACACTCTCTAATGAGCTCGGCAAAATGATTATTACTATTTTAAGAGCTTTATTAAGAACAATCTATGTAGTGCAAATCAGGTTTGCGATACAGGCACCTGTACACAGGTTAGAACCGTACAATTCCTTCTTCTTAATTATCTTTATTAAGGTCCTTTTTAATAAATTTTAAGACCATTTTCAATTCCAAATATGTTTTACATGTTTTTTAAATCTATAAATACGAACTGCAATACAGGATATTATGTGCTTTGGTGTTAGATTTTGTCGTAAATATTAATTTCTTTTAAAAAGTTTAAAATTTTATCTGTTTCATCTTTTTCGTCTAATTCAAGTGTTTTGTAACTGATATTAAATTTTGAAATAGATGTTTGATTGTTTGTGCATTCAAATATATGTCTGACTGTAAATGGGATGGTGCATGTGCATATTGGGGGAGAAGTTTTTTCAATAAGATGTATATGTGTTAGATTTGTGTGTCCAATTATAAGTCTTGTCAGTACTGTCTGGTCTTTTCTTTTATATGTGTTAATATTTGTCCATTTCTTACAAGTTTTTTTTGATGTTTCCTAATTTACCGTACAATTCCCTGATAAGTTATAAAGTTTTTCTAATAAAACCTCACAAATTATCAAGGAATTGTACGGTTTCAGGGTGTGGTATTGATGAAATGATCAAAAATTATCAAAAGTGATCAAAAATGATCAAAATGTAATTTTTTATTTCCACACCCTTGGTACGGTTCTCACAGGTGCCTGTATCGCAACCCTAGCGCAAATAATGTGTCGTTTTAAAAAGCTTGAGGTATTTGAATATTACATGAAGAACTTGTTCTATAAGTTGTAATGCCGAGATAAGCATAACATATTATAGATAGAATTATTCAATATTAAAATTTCAGATTAAACTTCAGAAACCCAAATCAAAACAATATCTTGTTCCTTAATACCACGTGAATCGAATGGAAAGTCACTTTCACTCTCATTTCCATGATTTCAACTCTCATCTTATCAAAACATTCCAATCACTTCCAACGGAAAGCTCAAGAGAGACTTTCACACAATTTCTATCAGTTAAATTCGTAATTTTGTTGTGTAAGGATCGCATTCGTTCTGATTTTTTCCTAATTTCCACTGTGTTTTGTATTGTGCTTTCCGAAGCAGAAGAAAAAGTAAAACAAATTTTTTTTTGTGTGCTTAACAGAAACGAAAAAGCAAAGAAAAAAAAATCTTATTGATAGAATGAAATTATAAATTATTCATTAAAAGTGATTTTGGCGTTCATAAATTATAGCAGAACTTGTAATTTGACTTTATTTTATTATTATTTGATGTGAATGAGGATAAAAATTGAATGTAGGTGTGTTTATGTGCGGTATTAATTAATTATTCATTTCTATACTCGCAAGAGAATTAATTACAGAATAGCGGATGAAAATTGTAAATCAGTGATGATTTGAAATGTCTTTGCAATGGAAATTTTGTACTTTTTTGTGCCTTTAGGATGTGCTTTGAAATATTATTTTGTGTTTTTGGTTACGCTTCGTTGTGCTTTTAATGAGCTTGTGTTTTGGAGGTAATTTGAGATCTTTCAATTTTTAGATTGGGGTTGGTGGAATGGAAATTTTAAGGTTAGGATGAATAGAAAACCGAATAACTGTCAAATAAAGCCTTGTTTTGTAACCATGTTGCAAATATCAGAACCGATATAATCAATTTACATAATTCAAATGCTGGCAAAAGTAAATCTAGTATTTCCAAGCCCACACCAGCAATATCTCAATTGTCTTAAATTTACTATAGAGATGAGGACAGTCTGTGGGTTGTTTTAATTTAACTCGCCCATAGGATGAAATGTCTGTAATCAGATAAGCAACACAAAATGTCAAATCAAAGAAGAAATGTCTGAATCTTTCATCGTATTAGCACATCGAGTCAGAAAATAGGTATCCATGACATCAGTTACAAAAACAAAATTAAATTACATTTCAGAAGAAATCTTTCCAAATTGAATTTTATATTGGAAATTGATATTACAGTCACAACATAAAATCTATTCAGTGCACAAGTATCTAGCTAGCCGGTAAAGATTCTTTTCTCTTATCTAAGATGTTACCGAGATTTAAGAAATTGAAATGGTTTGATCAAAATTTAATATTTGTTTATTCAATCATCGTTCTTGAAAATCAAGGCACGGAAAATCCAAGAAAAATTAGATTTATGAGCCATAAATTGGCTTGATATGTTTTAAAAAGAATGAATTAATTCAATTTTATTTCTGCAAATGTCTTTCGCATTTTCTATAATAATTTTTAAATTTAAATAGATATGTGACTTACTTTTCTTGGCAATTGAAGCAGATGTGTCATGATAATAAAGATTCTTAGAATCTTCTGACTTTGGTTTTACTTTTGGCTTGTAATTTCGTTGATTTGTTGGCACTAATATATGGACTGTATTCTATGACTATTTCAAGCAAAGGTTAAATTACAACTACAATTAAACTAATTTTAAAAAGTTTCAATGATAACTGAGATGATTTTTTTTTGATAAATGAAGAATTTGTATATCGAACTCAACAATGTCGGTTATGAATTAAAGATTTCTTAGATATTTTGGTGCCAAAATTTTCTTTCTTATTTCTTTTTTTTTTCTTTTTTTTTTCAAAACTATTAGCCTTAAAATTATTTTGGGAAAAAGGAAAATTCGAAAATCCAATAGGTACTCAGTAGATAAACTCATCTTAAAATTTACATTTAAAATAGTTCAATTAAAGAACATCATTCATTCCCGGCATTGAAAATCTCACATTTCAAATGAAAATTTGAATTTATTTAATCCCAATATACATTAAAAACAAAGCAAAGGAATTAAAAAAGAAATTCAAAAAATTTCTAATTAAATTCCTTCAATAATCTTCTTTAATCATATTACAGCAATTCCTTTAAATTTGTTATTGTATGTTCGTCTAATGTGCATGAAAAATTGTGTAATGTATTGTATATGACAGATGTATTCTTAATAAGAAGCTATTATAGGTCTTCTTGTCTTAGCCTTTTATCCATTCAGAAAGGAACAAGAAGAAAAAACCGAGAAAAAAAGCACAAAAAACTGTTCCTTTTCCTCGTACGCAATAAAGAGATGAAAAATCATCGAATATAAGCCTGTGAGTGTGTTGTAGAGCTGAAAAACAAGATAATAAACATTTTTATTCGTTTTGGTTGTTGAATATATCGCCTTTTTACATAAATCCTTTTTTTCTCCTACATGCTGAATGTGATTGCTTAGATGGAAACACAAGTGACAAGTTAGAGGCTCTAGGAGAAAATTGTCTAGGAGTGAGGACATTTGTTTGTTCAGATTATTTTGATAGGAAAAATAATAACAGTAATAGTACAATAAAAAATGAGAAGTAATGTTCCGATTTCAATCATTTTTACATAAAATGATGTGGCAGAATGGCACAAAAACAGAAATACTTTATATTATTGGATTCTATTTAAACTTTTTTCGGGTTTTTCTCTTTTTCGTAGTCGCTAAGGTGTTACTTTTTTGTGATTTTCTGTTAATTGAAGCGTTCTAGGATTGCAAGATGTTTTCGACAATTTACTAGACTTTAGGACAAACATTTTTAACTTGATGGTTATTTTAACTACTAAATGGCATAAAAGATTGGGTTTGAATTGAAGATGGACCTAGGGTCGGGTATCATATAAGATACTAAAGGAGACCAATTGGATTATTTAACTGTCCACTACTAGTCAATTATAAACTAGTGCTATTCTAGAGTTCGTGAGCACAGTAAGGTATGAAAAGAGTACGCTCTTATTTCAATCAATCGACTTAAGAATCCCCAAAAAGAATAACTGCATAACACAGCAATCTCTTATTCATTGAATTCATTTACCATGTGTGGGCTTATTAATTAGCAAAGCGCCATACATCATTACAATTTCTCAGAATCATGTCAGTTTGTTGTGCAAAAAACATAAACATTTTGCCTAAAATAAAATTGACACAGAGTGTTTTAGTTTATCTTCTCAATGATCTTGAATGTTATGGTAACTTAAGTGTATGTATTCATAGACATACATGCACGATACTATAAACATCGAAAAGCTTATCGAAAAGTGCTCGAAAAATATATAAACGAAATAAAAGCGTATGAATGTGGAGAGTGAACTTCTGTGTGGATTGAATGATTTGATTCTTTTTGTAAGTGAACCCAACTTTTTGTAGCTTGAAATAAAAAAAAGGACTGCTTTATGTATTAATGAGAGATTTGTCTCTGCTGGGAATCGAACCCATGTCTTCGCAATAGATTTTTCATAATCATTTGACCTTAATTTACTGCATAAGAACTAATGGCGGGTGAGCATATATCAATGTTTCTAAAACAATGCTTCACGACATCTCAAGTTGCTTAAAAATTGAGGATTTTATAAGATTTACAAACTAATTGAGGAGCTTTAATTTTTTTCTTTCAAAGAAATATCCACAAGTATGATTGCTCCATAAAAGCTCATTAAAGGCACACAAAAACATCTACATACTTCAAAGTTATCCACACAGAAGTCATCAAAATCTGTCTTCTTTTTTTTTGTCTTTCCAGCAAGACAACATAAAGAAAATGATGTGAGATAAGAACCGCATTATAATAAAAACAATTTCAACTCATAATATCAGTGATATTTCTACGAGAAATAAAGATAATAACATTAAATTGTGTAATCTACAACGACTCACATACACACGACATATATAAGAAGTAGAAGAAAGATATGAGATCAAAAATGTCATACTATAATGTCAGAAAAGCAGGGTGTCGACTATTTAACGATAAAATTCTTGCTCTGTTAAGTGGAATCTACACTTTGGTAAGTGGATTATTATAAAGTTCATATTTTATTCAATCTTTTTCCATCCAATTTCTCCTCCTTTCTGATGTAAACGAATATGTTGAAAAATTCTTTATTTATTCAATGAATAATAAATTCAGATTTTTTTTATCTTTTAACTTCCTATGTTCTCTATAAATATTGCATTCATGATTGATTCCACTTTATCTTGTTAGATTTATATCTTGTTACATATTTTATGTGAGTCGAAATCAATACGTCAAGATTGGACTAAAACTCATTGGTTAAAGAATATCTATTTTAACCAAGGCGTGGAAACTCAGGATTAATCCTGAAAAATCCCAAAAATATTAAAAAAATCCCTAAACCAAACATGGAAATGTGAAATCCCTTTTAAATCCCTGATGCTTTTGTTTAATAAATTCGGAATTTATAACAATTTCACATTTTCATGTTTATTGGCTCAGGGATTTTTTAGAATTTTTGGGATTTTTCAGGACTAATTCTGAGTTTCCACGCCTTGATTTTAATAATAGAAATCATATTCTAATCGAATCACTCCTCAATGCTCAAAATGTTTTTGCTAAAAAGTTTCATAAACCTTTAATCGGCTTTAATCCATGATTTAAACAGTAAAATACCAGAAATATTACAACTTGATTCTCTTATAAATTTAAAAACGTTTTCAAAAGTATTAAGAATTCATAAATTAAAGAAAAATTAATTTGTGAAGAACTGAACAATTTTTGAACTGAAGTTTTAAAAGCTATTCAAATTTAAAATGAATAGATTTTCATTGAAAAGACTCTGAAGAGCTAATTAACATCGTTCACAAATATTGAAAAGAAATGAACTGAAACTTTTAAGTACGAAAAAGTTTTTGCAGTTTGCCAATTATTTTGTTACATTCAAAACGAAGCATTGAAGAAATTGTTTACAAGAAAGTTTTAGTCTGTGAAGATGAATTTTCATTCGTATTCTTAAATATAATATTTGCTGCAATATTTATCTAGCACTTCAACTTACTCTACAGAAATTTAATAAATCAAGTGATGAATTTTATAAAGTTAATCATTCGATTCGATTTGATTTGAAGAATTTTCATTAAAAAAGGAAGCAACTTCTTTAAAATCTTTGACTTGAAAATAGGGCAAGTCAACATCTAAACTTAAAATTTAATCTTATAATTTATTAATACATGATTGATTCCAAACTTAATTGTTCCTTAATCAGATTAACTCATTGATATGCAAAATTGTTAAATTGTCAAGCAGATAATTCAATTTAAATTAGCAGAAAATTTCTATGAAGCAAATTTTCCATCAGCTAATACAGAATCAACTTAATTAACTTAATTATCCAATTATCAAACTTTTTCGTTCATTCATCAGCAATTGATGTAATAATTTATCCCAAATGAATTCATTAATTACCGGAAATTAGGAGTCTTATTTAACATTTTTAATGATACAAACTTGAAAGAGGTTATGTTGTCTATTGTGTAAGAAAAATGGGCAGTAGGGTTGTAAAGTTTCTATCTTCAAAAATTAAAAAAACACCAAAAACATCTATTTTTAAATGTAAATAACAATTAGCAAATAAAAATTCAATATTCTTTAGTTCACACCACATTCATCCCTTAGGATTTCGAATTAAGCTGTTAATTTTCTACTTTAACAACGTCCATTACAATCCAAAAGATTAATGTTCATTCCCAATGCGAATTTTACCGAATACATAGATAAGTTGCTTAAACAATGAATATTTAATTTTCATTTCAACTTGTTTGCAGTTTAAAACTTTCAAAGTATCGTCTGTAAGAATTTTCACGTAAAAGTTTAGTCTAAACCGAACAATTTTTCCAAACCGTGTAATGGGAATTGAGCTGAGGTATTCGTAAACATAGTAAAAAGTTTCTACGAGATAATTTCCATAAATTGCGTGAAATTTAAATGAAGTTATAAAATATTTCTGGTGTTAGAGATTATTTCATGATTTTTTGGCGGTTAACATTGGAAATCTCATGAGGATCTTTTGTCGAAAATAGAACTCTAAAACATTTTACGGTGATAACAAAATAAATCTTTAAAGAGGAAGTAAAAATTATCAAAGTATAAAAAAACAAATGAAATTTAAATTTATGCTAAAGGACAGCATAAAACACAATAAAGATACTGATTATGAAAATAATAATTTGAATAGTAAGCATCAAAGTCTTTTTGCAAGCCACAACATCATTCATTTTCATATTTTACGACACTGAGACCAAAAAAAAAAATCCATTTCATTAATTATTAAAGAAATTTCATGAAATTTAGAAGGTGATAAGCATCTTAAGGAAGATAAAAAGACTTACTTGAATGAAGAGACGGTCGATGGAATAATGAGGAAGAAAGGCAAAAATAAAAGTCAAGAGAGGCGAAAAAGTTTTATTAGCACAGCTTCTTCCATGCGCGACCTTAAAAATATATTTTTCATTTTTTTTTAAAATAATAAATCTAAGGCTTTTAGTTACAAGTATAAAGTAAATTTATCATGATTGGATTTTCGTGAAGTAATTTTAAGTCCTCGTGAATTCAATGAAGCTCTTAATAGATGAATTGACAGCTTTTAAATAATAAGAGGAATATTTTAAATAAAATTATGTTTATTTATAAAAGCGCGTAAATTTATGTGCCAGCATAAAATTTATTTATTTTAAACGAAAACTTGATTCAGAGTATGGAAGGGATTTGAAGGTTAAGTTTATCATTGCGCTGTTTTTTTTAAAATGAATTAATTCAATTAAAATTTAAATCTTAAAAGACTTCAAAAATTTCAATTTTTAATGGAATCTTAAAAGGATGAAAGAATCTTTTTAATAAATTGAAATCCATCCCTTGAGTAAATTTTACCAGCACATCCCCAAATAGACAAACTGAAGTTAGTGTAACAATAAATCTCCCCAACTCATTCCTAAACAAGCTCAATTACATCAAAACGTTTGAATAAAATGAAAAAAAATTCACTCTTATTTTCCTCTCTCTTCTAGAATATTTCCATTCTCATTTTTATAATGTTTGGATGGCAAATAAATGCAAATTTCAAGAGCTATCAAGATCTTGGAGACGTTTATTATGGTAAGTGACGGAATAATGACTTAAAGCTCTTTTTCCTTATTTCACTAAGAAGAATCTTTTGAAATTTCTTTAATTTTTTCTTTACAAAACTCTTCAATTTTCCTAATGCGCAATTAATCCATGGATGTTTACTCTTGTGATTGATTTATTCGCTGATCAGGCATTCAAATTGCACAGATAGCAATTATTGGAACGCAAATTTCAATGGCAATATTAAGTGTTGTTTTAATCATCGGCATTTATAAGGTAAGTGATATTAAGTTATGGAAATTGATTCATTTATTATGGAAAGCTGCTATCAATGCTGTAATCATATTGCGGTTTATTTAATTAAAATGTTAAAGTTTAAAAAAAAATATTTCTTTGCAGGAAAATTCAAATTTTTTAGTTCCATATATTGTTGGATTTCTTACATTGTGGAGTTTAGAAACTATTGCTTTGGTAAGTTTAAAATTGAGTTTCTTTTGTAGAATTTTAATTACTTTTTTAAAAATGGTTCTGTCTTAACAACAATTTCAATCACAATTTGACTATTAAATGAATGAAAATATTTTTAAATCTCATCAGAAAATTCTTCTTTTTGTCATTGTGGTTTTGTAAATTAAATCTTTCTTGTAATAAAATTCACAGTAAAACTGTGGCTGAAATATTTCAGAAATGTTCACAAAATTAATTTTAAAATTTTTTTGAGGTTAGATTTGTAATAAAAATTCAAATTTAAATGTCTCGACGTCTGCAACTTCCAAAGAACAAAAATATTTAAAAGTTCGCATTAATTCAATTTCAACATAACCCCCAAAAAGACAAGAGTAACGATTATTTTTACTGTAATTTTCTTCTTTTCATTGCAACATTTGGACAAACTTTCAGGTATATTCGAACGTGCTGAGAGATCATATCTTCAAGGTACGCATACTTGTTCCAATTACATCACCCAATGGCCATATGCTAATTGCGAAAGTAATTAACTACAATTATAATTTTCTCGTTTTCTTCTTTTCATTTCTTTTCCGTTAAAATTGCCAGCAATTTGACAAAGTTTCAAAAGCCGTTCTGACCTTTTTCGTAGCGCGAGCGATTATAAATGTAAGAAAATTTCCTTTTTTAAATTAAATTAATTACATAGCAGCTTTAAAGGCACAATGATTTGAGATTTTTTTTCTGTTGAAAAAGAATCTTTGCACCCAACTTTAACATTATTATTATTATTATCATCAGATGATTTTCAGTTGTGTAGGCTGACGGGAGAAAAGAGGTCGTACATGACAAGAACACAGAAATGAATATGATTTTGAAGTTGTAAGGCTTCCGGTCAACTTGAAGATGAAAAAAAAAGTAATGAGTTAGGAAGCCATAAAACTGGGGATGATATATTGTGAACTTAATCATGTTTTCTTTTTCGTATTCTTGGATTTAACCTTAATTTATTGATTTTTGAAGGAACTGAAAAGGGAAAAAAGTTCAAGGTAGCAAAGGTTTTGGTTGATACATAATGAGAAGGTAGACATTGATTTTTTAGCTTTAAAATTCTTCATCTTTTGTTCAATTTTATGGCTGAGAGTTTATTTTGACTTTTTAGAGTTTCCCTTGGTTTTTGGTCAATGATCTATGAAATGCTGTCTAAAGATAGATTGTTGAACTTTAAATTTGAAGCAGTTTTGTTTAAGTGGGATTTGAACTTACACTTTTTTATGGTAAATGTAGAATTGACGAGTGAAGTACTGACTCTTAAACAATTTCACTAACACGTTACATGTAAAGCTACGGACATTATGTGCATATCCAGAAAGATTAGTATTAACTTTAATTTGTCTACACAGCCTAATGATTAATTTAATGATTGATACCAAAATGATTCTTTTATAAAGTTTATATTTCCCTAAGAAATCAATCTTGTCATCCAATTAGACAGCATCAATTGATGAACTACAAGAAGAAATTCTCATAAAAGGATTAAATTTCATCAAACAGAATTTCCTCTTGAAACTTCAACTTAACTTTATTTAATTCCCTCTGTTTAAAGATCATTGTGCACTCTTTCATCACTAATTAATCACCGCTTCTTCCTCAATGCTTTTTTCTGTATTTTATTTTCAATATTCATGAAAAATTTCTTTTTTTTCTTCTTCCTCATTTTTAATTTTCCAAGGCATTAGCTCTGTGGAGTGTAATGCGTTATCATCATCTACTGCGTACTGGCATTTCATGGAAGATAAATAAGAATATTGCTGATCTTTGACATAGTGTTACTTCTGATAGTGACGATTCAGAGACGACATCAACAACGATGTCGATTTATTTTGATGAGAATGAGAATCGACTTGTTTATCCGTATGTGAACAGCGATAACAATAGCGATGAAAGTTTGTATCAAACAAAAGTTCATTGGCATGATCCGATGAATAATACTGAAGACAGCGAATTGGATTTGGACGCAAGAGTGGATGATGAGAAAATACTTGGCGATGGAAGTGATGAAGATGATTCATTGTTGGTTATTTATCATGATCTCGATACAAATGCAGCGTATTGACAATAAATAATAATTTGAAGAGAAAGATTTGTGGCAAGCTTAATGCTTCGTGGATGACAAAAGCGCTGTTATTCTGTTTTTGAGAATTGGTGACAAAATATACAATGAATTTGGATTTTTTTAAAAAAAAATTGAAATTTCACTTTGAAGAAAAAAAAAGAAACAAAATGGCGAATTTTACTCGTATTTAAGATTATTATCACAAAATTTCAAAATTTAACGATTGAATCCACAAAATTAAGAGCCTATATTGATCAATAAAGTAGCAAAAACTTACAAATTCACATTTGAGATTCCAAAAGTCAAAATTAAGCGAAATATAGCAAAATTTCTATTCAGTGATATGTCTGAACTTAAAATCAGCTACTTAGTCAATACATCAGTATTAAAGACTCAAAGTACAGCATTGATTGCAAAAAATTATGCTTAGTAAATGGATGGATGAAGATAAAATGAAGAATTAATTGGCATTAGACTTCTTTTCTTTTATTCCACTTTTATGAGGCTGAAATGCGAGTCACTCAGGCGTAATGAGAATATCATTATAATTTTATTTGATATAGACGAGAATATTTTTTATTAATAAAGATAAATTCATGAACTTACGGTTTGATTATCACAACCTCATAATAATAAAAATAATATCTGATAGAAATTATTTGAAATATGACTTTCGATGACAGGAATTTTTGAGAGGTATTCAGGCTTTATAAAAAGGAAAATTAAAAATCTTTGTATAGTTAATGAAATGTTTTATTTTCCAAAAAGTAAAGGCTATTTTACACTTTTCAGAGTGGCATTTGAGGAGGAAATTGATTAGTCTTGAGATTTTGTTAATGTGAACTGAGCACTTGTTGTACCCAAATATATGAAGTGTTGTCTGCTAAGAAGGATTTTTTTGTTGTACACTTTTCATTAGAGCTTTAAACTTCAACTCGATCATATGTGCTAGTCGGGATGGTTTTTATAATTATTTCATTCTTAATTCTCTGAGTAAATGCACGTTTTTGATAAACAATTTCACATCCACAAGCATCCTCAACACGTAAATTAAATAAAAGAACAAAAAACATTTTTCTATCTAGAAATTTTAACATAATGAGAAATAAATAGACATTTTACAGTTTTTATGTGCGATTCTACATCATGAAACATAATAATTAAGTTTACTTCAGAGCATATTTTCATAATAGAGACTTACAGCCATTAAGCATGAGGAATTTTTTTTTGTTTTATCTTCTTTCCACAATTTGCATATAAATATTTTTTTTCCTCATTCTTTATCATAAAAGTGAATAAAGCTTAATCATACAAGGAACGTTGTAAAAAAGAGGAAAATTTAATTTTCTTGGTAATCTTGTTCAAGATAATAATGACTATAATGTACATATGCATGTAAAAATGAAGAATTTGCTGAAGCAAAAAAGAAAAGAATAATAAAATAAAAATATATAAAAGAACAGAATAAAGTATCTTATGTGTAGGTGAGTCAGCATTTCAGTTTTGAGAAGGAACATAATATTTCAGGTCTGTTTGCTGATGGAATATTATCAGGCTGTATGAGTTTATGGATGAATTGTATAGATTGTGGGTCATAGGACCGACCGAATTTTCGGCCGAACTTCTGCTGAACTCCGGCCGAAATTTTTTGAAATTTCGGTTCAAATTTCGGCCGAAATTAGACAGAAATCTTGAATTTCTTTTTAAAAAGGTAAAATTTTATTAATTTTTTTGTATGAACCGAAGTTTTTTGACGAATTAAAACAATTTCGGCAGAAACTTCGGCCGAAATCTTGTGTAAACCAAAAAATTATTTTCTTTAAATCCATTTTTTCTGATTCACCGTGTAGTTTAACGTAGTACAAAAATTTGGGGATTATCCTTGGATTGAAAAAGTGGATAATCCGATCAGTGAATTATCGACCTTAGTGAAACACCGAATAATTTTCATTATTATTTTATCGTAACAATATTTTAATTAAAAACTTAATTAACAGAGTAATTCCTAGTACTTTACTACTACTTTGGTACTTTAGTTGTGTCTTGAAATAATTTTTGATTAAAATTTTTTAACGTGCAAACTCCTTTTTGACCAGACTTTTTGTAAAAGGAAAAATCATAGTCAAGCAAAATTCGAGAAATTTGATTCAAACACATCATCAGTGCTATTATTTAAGCCCAATAAACTACAGCTATAATTTAATGCTAAATATTATAAAGTAACATTAAGTGTAAAAATGTTTTTTTTTTAAAAAAATTGAATTAGATAAAGATGATTTATTGTTTTAGATAATTTTTTTCAAGAAAAATTCAAGTTTGCGGCCGAAGTTTGAGCCGAAATTAAAACAAACTTCGGGCGAAGTTTCTGCCGAAATAGTTTTAATTCGTCAAATACTTCGGCTCATACAAAAAAATTAATAAAATTTTACTTTTTTTAAAAAGAAATTCAAGATTTCTGTCTAATTTCGGCCGAAATTTCAACCGAAATTTCAAAAAACTTCGGCTGGAGTTCAGCAGAAGTTCGGCCGAAAATTCGGTCGGTCCTATGATTCACGCCCAATTGTATATGACTTGATTGTTTTCTTATGAATCATTATTTTTGCTTTAATTTATGAATTTTTTTTGTTGGGAGTTTTTGAGTTAAAGCTGATTAATTTTAAATATTAGGAAATACATTTTATTTCCATCAATATTAAATCAGGTAGGCTAACTTACAATCAAGCAACCTAGACGAATATTAATAAATGTGGCCCTCTTGGAATAAGGCTGTGGATAGAGTCAGGATTTCATTTGGTATGGGAAATTGGCAAGGGGTAGTCAGCGAAAGATCCAGTTTTAGGCGGCATCTGAGGGAGGTTATGGATCACAATTGAAACACACAATTAAACTTTCCTATTCGCAAAAATTTAAAAAAATTTCTTCTTATTAAGCCATCAATTTACCGAAGAAAAATCTTCTTCTTAACTTCCAATAAAATCATGATCATTACAAGGTCAAATTCTTGACATTCGAACTTCAATCAAGAAATCAATCACGAAGAAATTTTTACATCAAATCATTATCAAATTACATTGCTTCCTAAACGCGAGCGTTTGAAATTTTCTCATGTGAAAAAGTTTGTGTGAAAATATCAAGATAATTCAGGGGGTTCATCATAAATCACGTGATAAATTCAACTAACATAAAACTTATTCTTGAAATAAGCTTAAAGTAGAAATAAATTTATGGTTTGCTTAAAGAGTTTTATAGAACTTTAGAATCTTCAAATAATGTACGTAATAAGTGAATAGTCTTCAAGTTGAAAAAAAAAATCATTCCATCAATAATCATGTCAATAAAGTTAACGCTTTACATCAAAATTGTGAAAATTGCTGGTGAATAAAATGATTGAACATTTTATGAAATAAATTGATGAATTACTGTAAATAAATAAATGAGTAAATTGCTACATTTATTGACTTTCTTTTGATTGAATTTGTTTGCCAATTTTATTTGTTTCGAGATTTGGCAGCTTTTATCTATGAAAATCAACAACTTAAAGTAGAAAGGGTATTAGTGACACTCTGTAATAATCAGTCATTGATGAAGTCAACATGGGACTCGGTTCAAACTTCTTAAAAATCCTTAATATAAATTTAAAAAATTCAAAAAAATATATAAGAAGTTAAATCTTTTATTCATAGTAAGTAGTAACCCACTTAACATCTCTAATTGGCTCTAATTAAAATATTTCTTATTATAAACATCAATATTCCAATTAATAAATATCAAGCCAATTTAAAATCGACAAATTTATCATCCAAAACCCTCAAAGACACCCACTTGTATGAAATGATCTCTTTTTGATCTTATTAATTTCCAAAATATTCAGAATTCCAACAAAATTATTCATGATTGCTGCTTTTACCAAAAATGTATACTTTCAAAAGATACCACAAAACTCAAATGTGAAGCTTCTTTTGAGGTCAAAATGTTAATTGAAATTGGTATTTGAGATATGACTTTTGATTTACTATAGTTTCAAAATTTAAATAAAGTTCATTGAACGTCTACCGTAGTTGATTAAAGAAATATTGAATAAATCAAAAATTGGGGACGGTCTAGAAAAAAAAACTTTTCTTGACTTAATTTATTGATTGGATTTATTTGTCTTAATATTTATTAAGGGTTTTTTTGAATAATATTGAAAGTTTTGAAATATAATCAAGATTGATCTTTTTAGATAAATGTCAAGGGATTAGATGAGAAAATTTCCATAAAAATTATTTTTTGCAATTTTTTATTTGCATTTAAATGAAAAATCATGCAAAAACTTTTCCACAGAATTTTAAACTCATTAAAAAACTTTCAATGAACTCTACAAATCTGCCAACTGATACTGAAAATAATATTGGCATTTAATCTCTTCCACATGTCACCATGATTTCATTTACAATTTCCATCCTAATTGATTGAATTTTTTCCCCAAAGGAATCGCATATATCAGTAACAATTCGAATGAAAATTACAGCTTGAACACCATACAAAAAAAAGTCCTTTCATTTCATCAATTTTCCATCATGGCAACAACCAAAACGGAAATTTTTCACACGCATCTAAAAATATCCATATAATAGATAGCGATGGTACATTCAACTGTGTCTGATTTTTTTTAAGACAGGAAATGTGCAAATAAGGAATTTTTGGTATCGGAAAAATGTTGAAAAATTACGAGAGTGAAAATATTAACTTTTCAATATCCTTACTTCCTTACTTCCTTGGCTGATGCGCACGTGGACCCATTGCGGCGGTTAGGGATCGTCTGAAGACAGCTCTATCCTTAGAAAACCTTCTTACAGTTCGGAATATGAAAGACTCTAGCTTCCTTTTCAACACATCCAATCCACGAGATCTTCGGTCTTTCTCGTGATTACTTGCCAATCAAACATGTCAATATACAATTTCAATATAAGAATTATTAAAATATTACCTTCAAAAATCCCAAAATTTTAAATTCCCAA